ATTAACTATTACATAATTAATTGAAAAAATTGCGATAAAAAATCCGGCGGATTATTGTTCCTTAATCTATAAAATAACCACCTGAATTTTTTCATTTCTTAAATTTTATATTTAATATGTTTAAATAATTTTTATTGTGTCCGAAGTGGGCGTGGCTTGTGCAAGCAAGACCACCAGTTTTCGGCCAATTTTCATCCCTCTGGGAAAATTAAAAATATGTATTGGCCTACAATTCAGGGATTCGGGATTTGTTTTTGGAAATTTCCTCCTCTTTTTGAATCTTTTTTTGATTTGATAAATCTTCATTCATCTTTGAGATATTGGCAAAAAAACTATAAACCCTCTTTTTTCTTTTTAGATAATTGTTTATAACTTTTGCAATTTTTGCAAGCGGAACTTTATTACTTTATATTAAAAAACGTTGATTAAAAAGGCACTTGTTGACTAGACTCCTATTTAAGAACTTTCCGATATGTATGCTCCTGCTGAAAAATTGTATGATTATCAGATCTTATTATACTTCGTAATTCATATTATACACATTGAGGTAATGTCGTCATGGCCATGCGTCCTGCTGTGTCGATGGGTTGACTATGCCCACTGACACTATCCTCTTCTTCAGCGGACTCTTATCAGACGACGTGATATCCGTTACCAAAAACCTCGAGAATTGATAATAGGTATACTGCCTTTCTCTTTCCTCGTAGCCGCCATTTATCCATCAACCAACAATAAAGTAAGTAAATTAAAAAAATATATAAAGGCACAAAATGCAGAAAAGTAACACCAAAAGCAATAAAAACTATGAAAATCATATGATGGATCATATTTACCTTATTACCTTTGCCCTCACGGAGTCCGCGGTCGCCATTCAACTGATTCCATGTAAACGATACTCAAAGCCGTAAATGAACTTCAGCTCCTGAGAAGTACGGCATCGTAGCGAGCGTAGACACAAAAATTTAATCAAATTAAAATATATGGAGTCATTTTGACTCAACCCTATTGACGCCATTTTGTAGACACCACAATCTTCTTCTTCTTCTTCTACCTAGCGTTTATCCCGGTTGCTCATCCAGCCCAGCGCGGGAGAACCCAGGGTCTGCTTTCCAACACTTCCTCCTCCACTTTGCCCGGTCTTCGGCGTCCCTCACAACTAGCCCATTGGCGTGCATGTCATCCTGCACGACATCAAGCCAGCGTTTCTTGGGCCGTCCTCTACTCCTGGTACCAGGTAAGGTCATGTCCAGGCATTTGTTTCCCACGTAGCTTGCTGGTCGTCGTAAGACGTGGCCGTACCAGCGCAGGCGACTTTCCTGCAGCTTGTCAGTAATGTCACGGACATGGAGGTTGCCGCGGATGTATGTATTCCGTACACGGTCTTTCCACGTGACGCCACACATCCACCGCAGCATGTTCATCTCCGTGACATGCAACAACTGCCGGTGTCGCTCCAGCACCGGCCACGCCTCACTGCTGTACGTAAGGACAGGCCTTATGATGGTCTTATAGACCTGTCCCTTCAGCTTGACCGGCGTTTTGGGGTCACAAATGACACCCGTCACCTCGCGCCATTTCGCCCAAGCCGCTGATATACGGGCCTTGATATCGCAATCGATGTCACCGGACGCATCAAGCACAGATCCGAGGTACCTGAAGTTGTCCGTGCGCTCGATGGTGTCGTCGCCTATACGGAGAGACGTCAGATCTGTGCTGTTGCAGGCCATATACTCCGTCTTCGACACGTTTAGCTTCAGCCCGCCGTTCTCAAGCGCCTCCCTCCATGCGTGCACGCGTCTGGTGAGCCGTCCTTTGTCCCCATCTACCAGTGCGATATCATCAGCGTACATAAGCAGCCAAGGCTGCGGTAGTTTCTGTACGCTGACTGACAGTTCGTCTAATATCACACTGAAGAGATAGGGGCTTAAGACGGAGCCCTGATGCACGCCTATGGTTATGGGGAAGGGGGTGGTATCACCAACAGCGGTCCTGACTATTGAATCGGAGTTGCGGTACATGTCACGTACGATTTCCACGTAGGTCTCTGGTACCAACTTCGACCGCAACGCCCACCAGATCATCTCCCTAGGAATACAGTCAAAGGCCTTCTGCAGGTCTAGGAATAAAAAATGCAGAGGCATATTCTTTTCCCTGTGCTTCTCCATGAGGATCCTTAGGGCGAATATAGGGTCCATGGTACCGCGTCCTGGTTGGAAACCGTACTGAAAGTCCGACACTGTACACTCCTGTCGGATCCTGGTGTCAATAATGCGCTCGAAGAGCTTCATGGTGTGTGACATCACCTTTATACCGCGGTAATTACCGCAATCCTGAACGGACCCTTTACCCTTGTGGACCGGCGTTATTATACTAAGCCGCCACTGATCGGGCATTATTCGGTCGCTCAGGATTCTAATATAAAGGTTAGTAAGAATGCACACACCACGAGCCCCCAGCGCTTTCCACGCTTCAATTGGCACCTCGTCCGGTCCGACAGCTTTCCGATTCTCCATATGACGAAGAGATGCGAGGACCTCGTCAGGTGTAATCGGTGGCACGAGTCCATGGTTCGGGAGTTGTTCGGGAGGGTGCACTTCCCGGTGCTGAGTATTCAGCAAAACGTGGAAATAAGAGCGCCATCTCTCCTTCACCGCACGATCATCGTACAGGATCTTGCGCTGCTTTGGCCCTAGAGCGCGCCAGTTTATATATGAGCTTGTGCCCCTCAGGAGTGTCCAACTTAGCATATAATGGTTGCAAGTGGTCACGCCTGGCTCTGGCTACAGCTTTCTTGGCAGCTCTTTTCGCTGTCTTGTAAGATGCGCGATCTTCAGGAGATTTAGTCACTTGCCACGTCTTGAAGAACGCTTTCTTTTCCCGTAATGAACCCTGGACTGTGGCGTCCCACCACCAGGTCTCCTTGTCGATTTTGCGGCCCCCTTTCGCCACGCCGAGAACTTGCTTTGCCGTCTTTGTGATTGCTGTCTGAATGGTTTTCCAGCACTCTTGGACGGACTTGCCTGCTGTGTCGAGACTAATATCCCCAGCGGCAGAGTCAAACTCTGAGTATTTGGTTTGATCCAGCAGCCACCACTTGATTTGACGGCGGCAACGTTCGGCGTGTCTGCGACGGGGTTTTACGCAGAGGTCCATGACAAGAAGTCGGTGTTGGGCAGTGAGACACTCACCGGGTATGACCTTACAGTTGGCCACGCGACTGATATGACTTCTCCTGGTCAGTAGATAGTCGATTTGAGTGGCGTTCCGCCCGCTCCTGTAGGTAATCAGGTAGGTGCTCGGTTTTCTTTTTGAAGAACGTGTTCATCACGGCCAGGTCAGCTGCAGTGCAGGTTCTGAGAATGGTTTCCCCCTCTGCGTTTCTTCGGCCGTAACCATAGCCGCCGTGGACACGTTCATACTCCCCCTGCACCTCGCCCACATGACCGTTCAGGTCGCCACCCAAAACGACATCGTGGTACAACGGTATGCCGCGTAGTACATCTCCGAGCCGATCCCAAAACAGCGTTTTATCCGCGTCGCTGCAGCCGACCTGTGGGGCGTAGGCACTTATTAAGTGGGTCACGACCCCCTCAATAAGCAACCTTACTACCATAAGTCGGTCGCAAATGTGTCTAACTTCCAAGACGCTATCGTGGAAATGCTCAGCGAGCACCACTGCCACACCGTTCTCTCCACCAGAGGAGCCTGTATAGATCAGCTTGTAGCCGTGCCCAATATTCCGGCTCTTGTTGGCCTTCCACCGTGTCTCCTGCAGGAATGCCACAGCCACTTTACGCCTGGCAAGTATGGCCGCAAGTTCTGCGGAGCGTCCCGTAAGCGTGCCAATGTTCCAGTTTGCAAAGCGAATCTTCGTAGTTGGTGCTAACGTCTTTAGCCGGGCTCGCACGGGGCCCGGTAGCCCTCGCATACTTGTCGCAGGGTTAAGGCGATCCCCATGCGCGTCGTTATGCGGCGACGCCCTAGTCCTAAACGTATTTATCTTTCTTTTACCGTCCATTTTTTAGTGGCTTAGTACCAATTACCAGGGCGACTGCCGTCTGACCCCCGAACCCCTAGGACGAATCCCAGAGGAGTGGCATCGCCGGAGCCCTTTCCGTTGTCCAGCAGGTGCGCCACGTGCAGGCGGGGTTGGCTTGGGCTCCAAGATCTTAGCGGAGCCCCTTACACCCAAAGTAGACTTGTAGACACCACAATATATACATATAATTATATTACGCGATGCGAACTTGCGTAGACGTGTAACTTCACACGTTCGTTTTAGGCACAGCCGAACGGCGGAATTAAATTGTATACTACTAATAATATCGATGAATGTAGGATAAATAAACACTATCGCAAAAGAATTGTCCTATCGCCAAAATGTTAACCGAATTATGTAGATTGATTGAATATAACTGATAACTGTAGGATGCCCTAACAAAATCCGATTAAGCAAACTTTCTTCCCAATCCGACGAAGATGGATAAAAAAGTTAAAAACCTAACGGACAGCTCGGATAAAACTGTTAAATAAACTCAAATGAACCTGTGCGACATTGCCGTCGCCAGCGAGTGGAATGTAAGCCAAACATAAAATGAAGTAGTTACTTCTAATACGGTTTCGTTCTCCAACAAATTAACTGAATCGAAAGTGTACATTACGCTTTACGTATAAAACATCTTAAATGTCATCGGAATGCCTTAAAGAAAGCATCACTATTATTAGGCTATTGTTACTTGATACATATCAAAGGGTCCTTTAATACACGGCTGAAATTCAAGATTTTCTTTCCACTAATGGGTCTATTCTTAGAAACGTCAATCAATTTTTCATATATAAATCGAAGGAATCTTGTTTACGGCATAGTTTTCTCTTAGTTATTATACAAAACGGATTGCCAATATGGTGAGATATACTTTTATTAACTAATATCATATCATTTAAATAAATTAAATAACACATTTCATGTATTATTATTTTAGAACAAGAGGTATTCAACCATGATTCGGATATGCGCCAGTTATTTACTTATCACACAAACATTTATGCCTATAAAAGCCCTAAAAAAACCTTCAGACATTAACGAATTCACAGTTGAAGACCAAAAAACCCATAGAAGACAAAATTATGTCATGGCAAGAGCGATGGATGAAGGGATGCCGGGCAACGATGATATCGGTGTTGCCTACACTACCGACTACTTCGACGTCGAATCAAGTCCTGAAGAGCTGCCATCTTTTATTGTAGATTATGCTAATATGATAAAGAACGACATTATCCTACTAGATAATTCTGTTGAAACGAGAACTCGTAAGAGAGGTAACATCAAAGTCGAAAAATACAAAGTAAGTAATACTTATATAATGTTTGTCTAAATCGTTTCTACCATTGTAACTAATCATTTTTAAACTCAATAATTTCAGCGAGGACCCCTGGATTTTCCTTGCAGTTGTGAACATATGTATCATAGCGTAAGTGTAATTGACTTGATAACATAGTTTTATACGATATTAGGCAGAACCACCCTTAATGGTGTGTGTTTAGATTTTAACTAAGATATTGTATAAAGATTTTTTGGGATTTATCGACTTCATACTCTATCTCATTCTCATATCTTATTTGTACAAATTACAATTAGTAAACGCACGATTCAACTTTTTCAGAAAGAAACAATTGATTTGGGGGAGGAATATTTTCCAAGATTTATAGAAACAAAAAACTGCAGCAAGCGGCTTTGTCCGACTTCGTACAATTGTCAAAAAAATTTGTATAATGTATGTATTCAACACGTTTAAACAATAAGATTCTGTACTTTCACCATGAAGTTTAAATTTTAATACGATGTCTCAGTGACAACATAAAGAAAACAAAAAGTTATTAAATTATTTTTAATAAAAGCTTAGATAATATTATGTATTTGATAAAAAAAAATCTAAGGTTCATAACTATGCAACAGCAAATTAATAACGTTCAACAGAGAAATGTATACATGATAAACCTTTTTTTTTTCAGATAACTATTTTGAAGAAGACTGGTTACCCAAATGAAGTGTCACCAGTGGAAGTGCCTCGTGAGTTAAAACATCGCTGGGTAGCGATAAGATTACCAGTAACTACAGGTTGTATTTGCGCTAGAGATCATGTTGACAGCAATTAAATTAGACCTCCTCATTTTCTTATAACCATACTTCACTACCATTTGCAAGTGTCGGTAACTTTCATGTATTTTTGACGTTATAAATGTATACGATTTGCACCAATGAAAACTTTAAGCCTTATAACGATGTATATTTATGTAGTAATAATGTATAGCAAAATTATGTACATAACTACATGACAGACATTCTAAAATTATTCTCATAGCTGGTTAATTAAAAAACATGTATTGATATTATGCCAGTTTTATTTAATATATATCAAAAGAAATGTAATGTTAAAAGTAAACATGTAACTTACATTATTCTAAATAATATAATAAGTAATATTTACAATTCTAAATTATTAAACGCATCAATTATCAAAATATTCGCCATAAATAAAACAAAATGACAATAACTAAAAATGTTGCACTCCATAAAAAATAAAAATATAGAATTTTCACCACAATTGTTTAGAAACCATTAAACCTAAAACCGTGCTAACACTGAGGGTCATAATTTAATTATTAATTTTGCTGTTTTACTTACTTTCCTAAATAAATAACAACTAATACTTTTGTCTATGTTTATGAACACCAAATTGAATTATGATGGATGACTGTCATACTATTGTGCGAATTTCATGTATGCTATGTTACAAGTTACTTACATTTCAGTCATATTAAGGGCACAAAACTATGCGCGCAGGATAAGAATAGGATTGGGTTTACTGACAACTTCACCCTCGATACTAAACGCCAATTTTCATGACACCGTCATGACATGCCGCTATTATGAAGTTATTATTTATAGGAAAGCGCTACAAAATGGGATCACAAATTATTAATTATAATAATTCTATAAAAAATTACATGTTAACTGTATTTTTGCACATCCCGCACATGAAGCAATGCGAAACAAAATGCTAATTTCTGGCGGTCTTCTATATATATGTACTACGTACGTAGATTTCGCGATCCAAACACTCATTCTGTTTGACTTAACTATATTGCAACCCGTACCGTAAATTTATTTTAGTGCGGCTTCGACCAGCGTTATTATTGATACGGCAATCCACGATATTTTTTTTTTTCAGAAAATAAGGCATAGGGCAGTTCTCTTCTCGCCGTATCACAAGATACGGAAATTGGCTATAAGGCGAAATGAAACGTTTTTTCACTAGTGTAATGAATGAAATACGCACATAGGTACCACTTTGAAGAAAGCCGGGGAAATCTCGACTTCACATAGTTTTAGCTCCGTACGTTCCATCTTTTTCGCCTTGGTTAAAAATGAATGAAAAGTTTGCAAATGAGACGATGATTCACGTACTTCCACTAACATAAATTATAATAATTATTGTTACACCTACGAGTCGAGTACGACCTAACCTTCGACATTCATGCAGTGTAGGCGCGTACGGAACGGCGCTAATAATACGAGAATGCGAATCAGAGTGAACCTGAACGTAAATAAAAATTCAGAAGTCAAGAGAGCTTAAATAAACGCATAACAATAAATTTTCTTTTACTTTTCTTCTTTATTTTTATTTATTTAACTATTAATAAATTTTGAAGGAACAAAAGCTGTCACTTCTGCGGTGTAAAATAGAGATTAAAAAAGACGCGGCCGCGTGAAAACTATACTCTATAAGCGATCTAGCGCTTCATGTTTTAATAGTTTAGTTTGACGACATATCTAATTTTAGCGCTGCAGCAAATACCTCAGTCAGTCCACGGTGCGCTCCGCCCACGTAGGCCACTGTAGTCATCAAGATGTGACACGTTTTTTGTTTGGAATAGCTTCTCTACTACGTAGTACTTACAACTGTCAGTACAATGCTGTCAGTACAATTATTATGGAGCTCACATAGTATTATAAAATATAATGCTAAAGAACTATTACAACAATTGGTTCTCTTAACTGCATTACTTATTTCAGTGCCAAATTTATATCACAATACTCGTATATAGTACATATTTAATTCAGAGTAAATTATGGTTTACAAGAGTTATCACCATGTCAAAATAATATTATTGTTTTATTCAAATCAACTTTTTCAAATTGATGACCTCAGTGGGCTAGAACAGTTATAGGACCGTGTCGTGTAGAAATGATCCAACCCAAAAACGGGCCATAATAATTAACCAGGGCCTTTTTTTTTCAGTTTACTGCAAACTCAGAAAGAATTCTGAAAAATAATATGTAATCCCAAAATCTACATTAAATTTTCTTTAAAATGATATAATAGGGTTTCTGGCACTAGAAAAATACATTTATCATTCAAATCTGAATAACTTTGTTTTTTTTTTTTTTGGTTGGATCATTTCTGCACAACACGGTCCATATTATAAGGTTCATTGAGTTGCAACAGTTTTAAAAATAAAGTCAATTTTAAATACATAAAATATTTTAATACTCGGACGTGTGGCGTACAGTTTCGTGAGCACCTGGCGTTGGTACATCGCTCAGATGAGGCAGGATGTGGGCTATGGCTTCACGTGCCTCATTTACCATCCCCATCTCCCTTCTAAGCACCTCCTCGGTCACCGTGTGAATTGATTTGAACTTGAGGTTTAAACCGTGGGCTTTGAGAACGTGGTTGTTTAAATTCACTTTATAGCTGAATGCAACATTGCACACCTGCAATGAAACATTCGAGTTAGTTTAAAAAAAAAACTTATATATTGGTCCAGTTACAGGTCAAGAGTGCGATTTTGTAAATCTGGTTAGAATTGTTTGCGGATGGGAATCATTCAGAAACTGCGTTATAATTTTCATTGTGATAGCACTTTATAAGATATAAAAGTTTCGATAATTCGATCGAAATATCGATAATTTACAACAAAACTAAAAAACAAACGTCTAATTGAAACAAATCATGATACACACCAGTTACACAATCGCACTGCAGTTCAACTATGTTCAAACTAATTTTACGGTGGGACAAAGACAAATTGCATAATATATAAAAAGCAAAAATATTGCGAGATTACCTTAACCGTCCGCCAACCTACACTGGAACAGTGTGTTAGATCTGCTGTTACCATAACCGCCATACAGGCGTAAGTGTCCTTATTACCATGCACTGACCACCTCATTACACGACTGTCTACCGCAAATCAAAGATTTAAGTATAGACAATTATTGGTAGAGCCAAAGGCAAAAGGACTAACCTCACATTTATAAGGCTTTTTGCCGGTGTGAATGAGCAAATGATTTTGCAAATGGTGACTCTGCACAAAACTCCTACAGCAATGTTCGCAGACGAATCTCTTATCGCCCATGTGGGCTCTCATGTGGCGACGGAGTCCCGCGCCCTGTAAGAGACGTTAAGAGATTGAGGGAGAGAAAACGCACCTGGCAAGAGTAAGGCCGCTCCCCGGTGTGCATTCGCTCGTGATTTTGCAACTGATGTTTCGCGTTGAACGACATCGCACAATTTGAGCACTTGAACGGCTTATAGCCGGCGTGTATGCGCAGATGACGGTTCAGATCGCAACGCTGAAATACATCCAATACTTACAATCACACAATACATAATGTAGCATTTTTGATATCTCACATTATACGACATATTAACTGTGTGAAGGGCTTCCATTAGGCAAAAAATGACGAGTGTTAGCGTAACTGATAAGAAAATTATACAACCAGAGTTGAGTGGGTGACAACTTGTGATCAAAAAGTAATTGCCGTAATCATATGTATATAGTTATTACAATATCGTAAGTATTGGCGTAAAATCGAAGGCACTCCCTCATCCTAAACTACCTTTATGTATACGACGAACACGGTAGGCCTATCGTGAGAGAGTCCTTAGATGCAATTTTAGAAACTCGAGCAATGCACAAAACATTCGGACACGAGAAATAAATTATGTTGCACAATTAGTTTATTCTGATACTCAAACCCACTATCCAAAAATTCGAAGACAGGTGCGTTAACCGCTAAATATGTTATTAACCGATTCGTTGCGACACCAATTTTCGACAACTTTTAGCTGTGTGGCGGCGAACAAATATTCCATGACACTCCTATTGTGTCATCAGCCATGTGTAAAAGTAATGTTATTTTTTATGCTCATTTCACTTGTTTAGACCTGATTAAGTTTAGTTGACACCAAACCTCAGTTGCAAACGGAAGGATACTTGTTTTTAATGGCTAACTACGTGTTTTTCTAAGTGTTTTCCTTGAAATGGAAAGTAAGTAACTTTTTATACAAAGATTACATAAAAGATATATAAGTAGGTACAGCTAAATGACCCTGAAAAACCTTGGTTTTTATTAAATTAAATTTTCACCTAATAATAACGTTTGTAAATATCAAACAATCAAGAACCTTAATTTGGAAAAAAGAAAAGGTTTATGATTCATTGATATTTACAAATATTATATATTATTTAATGTTATACAAATGTAAAAGTAAAGTCGATCTGAAAACGTCTAAAATATTAGCGAACTTTTTTATGCATAAACGCGTTCGAACTGTTTCAAGTAAAAATAAACCTTATACCATATCACAAGAGCACATGCATGGTACTTCGTAGGTCCATTCGGCCATATGTTAGTAATAAGACGGCAGTTCAACCATTTTAAGCAAAATTAAACAATAAGACAAACACATTGTTTTTTTTTATAACAGGAGAATTGTTTTCTAAAAACTTTTTTACAACTTGAATTTGAGAATGATCGCAATGAGTGCTATTTGTTACTTATTGAGTATTTTTCCACAACATGAACACAACGTGAATTGTGAGATTTTACTGCAAATTGTGTTTTAAATTTAATTTAAAAAGGTTAGAAGAAAAGCTCAAAAGAAATCATCATCATCATCATTACAGCCCTTCACAAGTCCACTGCTGAACATAGGCCTCCTCCAAGGAATGCCACAAAGCACGGTCCTGAGCTACATGCATCCATCGACTTCCTGCATATCTTACCAGGTCGTCACTCCATCTAGTGGGGGGACGCCCTACACTTCGTCCGCCGGTACGAGGCCACCACTCGAGAACCTTTCTTC